ATTTGTCGGGAATGTCTTGCTCCTTAGACTATCAGGCACAATGTGTTGGAGCGCTAGCCAATAGAGGCGCCGGTGTTAAACAGTGATGTCACTATGTTACGTAGGCAAACAAAGGAGTCCAATGGAGGCGTTTCAGGCAGCTAGGTGAGAAAAGGGGGAACACCAAAAAGCATAAAAAGGCCCCTAAGTATAAATTAGAATACCGGGACTTCTCTGCAGCACCACAATACTTCATCAAGGTATTTTCACAGATTTTGCTCTTAAAAATATTGCGCTTACTTTGATATTGATATTGCACTACTTCATACTGTATTGCAAATTCAATACAATTTTAATTACTTATAAGGCCCTAATACAGACTGTATTTGTCAACTATTTTGTCACTAAAGGAACATGATTTACTTCTGATTACCGGATAGTTTCTGGTGCATACAAGGACAAATGTTGGCTCAGACAAAAAGTCATGTCACCTCTTAAAAATATTTAAAAAATAAACAAGATAAAGATGTCGAACAACTTGGAAGCATTTTTTTTAGATCATCTACAGTAGCAGCAACATCCGTTTTTTTGTGTCAATACTTGCTATTGAAATAGGAAATCCATGATAAAGGAACATTGAATTTTCCCCCATTGTCTGTGTAATCTTTAAGTGTGAATAGTTTTTTCTTGCTGGCGGTAAAAATCAGCAAAGTGCGCAGTCTTTCAGTCTGAGGAGTTATCTTTGTTGTCAGCATGAAAAACTAAAAAATCAATCTGCACCTTGTGCTTTTGGAGTGTAATCTATTTTGTTACCTTGAATGCAGACGGAAAATGAAGCATTCTGTATTGACGCAGAGTATTAGGACCATTAGGTCTCATTAAGAGACTCCATCAGTGCCTGCCCATGTGCTGTTCTCGCCTTTTCTCGGTGGCTAGGGAGATGGTGAAGGCCTGAAGTGATCGTTACAAAGAGAAGCACATTTATTCTTTCTGTCAGCCGCTGAGACACAGTGGATGCTTCCAATGAATCTCTAATTCCTCATGCCACTGAGATGAGGAGATATTCCAACAAAAAGCTTTGCAGAACAGCAAAGCGAGCCTGTGCTACTTCTGCTGTTGTTGTTTTTGCACCACAGGAAGAAAGGGTAGAGAGAGATCAAGGGGAAAGAGGTGGGAACAGAGTATCCATTTGATCTTTTTTTTTCAAATTGATCAGCATCGCAGAAGGCCCTTTGAATGCAAAATAAGATGTATGGCTTCTGCATGTGGAGACATTTTTATTTATGGCTGCTTTATAGCCTTGGATAGCCTTTTTTTGCCTCCGCGCCAGCAATTTCCGTTTCCCGGGGGGCATTATGTTTTATGTTGGTCCATAGGCATAGGTACGGGATACCTTAGGACACCCAGAGGGTAATCTTTTTTGATTTAGCATAACAGTCCACTTGGTTTCATGGTAGTCTAAGGTGGTGAAATGTCAAAGGTATGTTTCGTGAAAGCTACCAAAGCACGTTTGGCCTTGACTAAGATGGCTTAAGCTAATAATGAAAACATTTCACACAAATGTAAATTGTCTCACATCACTGTAAATACACTTTTCTGGAACTTATTCAAAGCCATAAATCAGGAGACTTTTACTATATTTCGCATTTTGTCGACTACTGAATTTATGACACTTATCATTGTTGCCCACCTTGAAATATTGCTGATGCTATTGATGTGATGTGTGTGAAGCATCCATTGTTTAAATATCTATCGAATTCCATTCGTTTTCCCGCTGCTGGAGAGGACGCTGGCGTTGACTGTTCGCCGCTTCTCCGCCTCTGTCACCCTCTATCACCCTCAACTACCATTCGTTCTTCAATCTTTTGAATTGGACCACTGCCCTGCATTTACACATCTTTAATGCAATGCACATTGTTTTTAAAAAACATTTTTTAACTTATTTTGGTCCTACCTACGTATACCGTAACAGGCACGACTTCCATTTGTTTTGACGCCGCCCGACGGAAGCCACTTACATCGTTCCACCAGCTGCTTCCTCAGGTTCTACAGACTACTGACTCTACCTTCTGCCGTCACCCTCCTCAACCAGTTACTGTCGTCCGACGACTCTACACCTCATAAAGTCGTAACTACTGTCCGCCTTACCGACCCTCGTCGACACTACCGTCGCTCACTATCGTGCGGCCTATCGTCGATCGTCAGAGACAATCGCGTCTATCGCGACGAGTGGTCGATGTCTATCGTCAATGGCGCGATCGATGTACCAAAGTGGTCTCCACACTCCTAAAACACCTCTGCCTCTTCTAGAGCTGTACCGTCCTCCTACACTCGTCCGCCCTGCCCTGTCTACGTGGGGTCTCTACTCCGTCCTACGTCTCTCTCAGGTGCCAACAACGCACCTGCCTCTGTCTGTCATCCGCTACATCGTCTATGTTATCGGTGGGCCGTGCAACTACCGATGCACTACCCCGTCGGACCATGTCGGTCGTTGCCT